ACTGTTTGGACACTGTTTGACACTGTTTTGCACTGTTTGACACTGTTTTGATGTAGATAATTTGCCAAATAAGGAAAGTAAGGAAGTGTGAACTTAATTTAAGGCCTGCTCAAAAAGGAAAGTGGTAACTTAATCGTGGGACGGAGGGAGTATATTAGGAAATCCACTTTAGCCTCTGAAATTGAATAATGAGGTCAACCTTTTTTAAACAATTAATAACATTAAATAAGCTTTTCATAGACATTATTTCAAAACAAAGCTATCAAACTATAAACATGAGTGTGAAAATGATATTGATCCTTACATTAGGAGGATTTCTTTTGTAATACAGAGTATTTATTAAAAAAAAATTGTAGCTCCACAGTCTTCCGTCGAATTACCCAGCACCTTGACATCGTTGTGTATTTTGATCTCATTTGAACTTTCCCAAAGAGGTGCCCGACCTTTCAAATGTAGCATCTGAATTCGTGGCGTTTGGATCGCTGCTGTTGATAGCCGATGTTGAGCCCTCGTTGTCGCATGATGGTTAGGCCTTATTTGGTCGCAATCTGCCACGGAGTCTGGCCTTCCTCTCTGGTCAGCCGATCTGAAAATCCATCGCAGGTGAGCGTTGTTTTCGTTGAGCTCTGTCTTAGGTTGATTTGATTCCCCATGGTTGTCTGAGAGTTGAAAGAAGAACGACCCAAAGGAGATGGAGGATGGCTGCTCCTGGTCTCCGATTGTGGTGACTGCCGAAGCATCGGTGCCAACGCCGGTTTCCCCTGATGTCGCCAGAGCGCCCTAATCCCATTCAAACGTTCAAAAAAAAAATCCTGAAGTACGTAATCTGGCTGCAAGATGACACCTTACCAGAAGCCCCAAACATGAAGAAATCCTATCCATCTTCTTCTTCTTCTTGAAGCGCGCGAGAGCTTAGAGACAGAGGCCTCCAGTCCTCCACTCACCTCACCGGCCTCCTCCTTTGTCTCCAACGTCTTTCTGGGACAAAGGTTGACTTGGGTTGCAGCCCTCCATGGCTCCATTGATGTCACAGTGGATGCGGCACTTCTAGCGGTTGAAACGCAGCTGAAGTTCTTCCCCGTCGTGAGGTCCTATGGGTTGGGTTGGATTGCTCTGCCGATTGTAGAAAAAATCCGGACTTATCCGGCATCTTCATCTATCCGGTGTAAATATACTCCTTATTAGTTGTAGTGGCTATATTTTTACTGAAAGTCAATAAACGTTATCTGTTTGAATAGACAACTCTCTGACAGCCATCAAAGATTCAAAACACATTAATTAATCTTGACCCGTCTTTCGGTAGAATCAAGATTTTTTAACATCCAAAACAATACCAATTCTTTCCGTTGTGATTGTGATGTTTTTGGGCGGCAAATTCACCAAAAATTCCACTTAGTTTTGTATAGAGATAGATAATCACATCATATCTAATCTGAGCAAAATAAAAATAAGCAATAAGAATGTTGCTCTTTTTAAAATTAATTTTGCAAACACTCCTGTAATATATTGAAGGGGAATTTTGAGTTTCCACCCCACTTTTCGGGTGATATTAGACTTTGCACCTTATTTTCAAAACTTTTAGACTTTGCACCCTATCTACAACATTTTGTGAAGAAAAATTCCTGAATGGGGTGCAAAGGCAAAGACATTTTAAAGGAAATATGGTGCAAACTCTAAGAGTTTTAAAAATGGGGCGCAAAGTCCAATATCACCCAAAAAGCGGGATGCAAAGTCAAAATATCCCTATATTGAAACCTAAATTAATAACTTAATTAAAATGATGGCTAAAATATAATCAGATAAATTTAATCTGATAAAACCAAATAAGATAAAATTTATTCAAGAATAATGTAATGACATAAAATTAAATTAAATTCACCCATCATTATTTGCAACTACCCAACAACAACTTAATTTATAAAATACAATTCATTAACGCACAACACCAATGATAAACACACAACAATAAAAACGTGGTATATGAAATTAGGGAATTAGGGAATAACCATCCAATGATACCTCTTTCAGAATTAGAGATTTTGACTACCTTATAAAAAAATTGTATTTGGAACATGGAGTTCGGACTAAGCTCTTTTGAGGGAATTTCAAGTAAGCCCTAGTTCAGTCGGAAAAGGGAGTTCCTAATCCCTTGATTAAAGAAAACCTAAAATAATTCTCATAGGCACTTCATGTCAACGAAGTCTGTATTAAGTCGGAAAGGGGAGTTTCTAATCCCTTCATACTTGCACGGATAGCTCAGTTGATCGAGTGGTGAGAGATTTGGATCAATGGACCAAGGTTCGAATCCCCACAGCGATCGGGTGGAGGTCACAGAAACTGAAATACGGCTGGACCTCTGGTGCGCACGAGTGTATGAGCCTACTGCCATTATGCTGACTGAGTCACCGTGACTAACCTCCCCACCATCCTGTCGGGTCGAGGTGAGAGCTACTGGGGTGGAAGATTCCACCTTTTGGATCAATAGAAAAAGACCCTCCCTTTTGTCCAATCACAGACCAGTTTCGTGAAAACCGAAATATGAATGCTGCCACACCCACCTAGGCCATCACTGTACGGGTCAGAAGCCATAAAGACATTAATTGATGCTAAGCTACAATAGGAATAAGTGAACTTTTTCTACACTACACTACGTCATGCATGCAATGGGCAAGGAGTCCCAATACACATGCCCATACCTTCATTGCATTAATGTGAACTTTTATGCTAGCTTGGTTGTGCATGGTAGACCGCTGCATAGGGGCGGAGGTAAAACACTAGGCCTGATTGGGCGATACAAAGAATTTATTGGAAAAATTTTTAACTAAATTTTTTACATTAAAAATTTAAACATTTTTTAAATTTGAACTCGTTCAAAGCCAAGGTTGGCTCTCCCATTTCTCCGCCCGTGCTGTTAGTAATGTAGCTATCTATATATAGGGGCCAAAACTACTCTACTCTTCAACCAGTAGACTGCTAGCAGTGGTGGATCCAGAAAATCGGAGTCACTGGGTCTCTACCTTAATGTAACTCTAATCAATAAAAAATTAAAAAAATGTAAGTATATAATATTAAAGTAAGATAACATTTCATAGTTAATGTACATCATCAAAATATTAAGAAATTTTATCAATTCAGGACCTTAAAGATAGATAAATTATAAATTCGGTACCCGAAAGATGAAATGTATTAATATAGGACCCGAAAAATGAAAATCGTCAATCTAGGATCTAAGATTTCATAGATTTTGATTGATTTATTTTTTATTAATTCCTTTGCTAATTTTTTGTAAACTTTTTTCCACAAAAGTATATTAGTTTAATAAAACTGAATAATATTTAAAAAATTTAACATAAAAATAATAAAATTTCATGACAATACCGGTCCGAGATTGATAGTGTTCAATCATTCAAGTCCTAAATTGACAATTTTCACCATTTGAGTCTTATATCTATAAATTTCATCTTTCAGGTATCGGATTGATAATTCATCTACCTTTCAAGTTTTGAATTGATAAAATTCCAAATATTAAAGTAGTACAACATTTCATAGTCCCTACTACGGCGCGCCTGGTCTTGAACATTAGGATGCAAATCAGCAATTGTTTTTCTCAAACCAGGATAAGCTTCTAAAGATTCAAAATAAACATGTTGATCATGTGTATTGTCAGCCAAATTAATTTCATATTCACCGATTATTTTATTCAATTCTTCACTTAATAATGGAAAATCATAATAGAAATTTTAATAATTAATTGAATTATGTAAAGTGTAAAGTTGGGGATTTTTTAAAAAAGGCAAAAGGATGTAGTTGTGATCTTTTACAATAATAAACCAAAAAAGCGGGAATAGGAGGGTGTGGGAATCGATCCTTGCACCTGCAGGATAAGGAAAGGTTTTTGAAGCCTTTCCTCCGTTGCTCTGCTCCATTCTTTGAAACTCATACTTATTTTTGTGTTATATATACAGTTATAAGTAAATTTTAAATAAAATATATAAAATATATAGGTATTTTTTTGGAAGTATGCGGGGTCCCGGGACCCCGTGGGACCCTTAGTGGGTGGGCCACTGACTGCTAGTAACCTCGTAGCACTTGTGCACTTGCTTCAACGTTGGCTGCCAAAAAAACTATAGAAATTACTCTAAATAGGAGCAAAAATATTTTAAAATTTTAAAGTAGGAGTATCATGTTTCTGTTCCCTGAATATGAGTAATCTGCCAAATTTGAAAGAAAAAAAATGTCATGTTTCAAAGCCTAGTAATGTCAAACTTGGCAGAAACTTACTCATATTCAAGGAATAAAAAACACGATAGTTTTATTTTGGAATTTCAAAACTTTTTTACTCGTACTTAGGGAATTCTCTCAAAAAACTAAATTGAACATAATAATTTTCACTTTGGTAAACCGAACCGAACCGAACCAAAACCAAACTGAAACACAAGTGATTTTAATTTGGTACAAAATTTCCCACACCGAAACCGAAACTGAAGAAAATCGAACCATAAATCGAATTGCCTATCCCTATTCCAAACCAAAAATAAAAGAAGGGCTAGGCGGTATGGATATTCAAGGGAAATCAGTTGGGTAGGGCAAATATAAAAATCCCATTTGTTTTATTAATTGATGTAACTTATTTATTTGTATTCTAATTTTTACAAAAAAAAAAATTAAAATTTATATTTTGTGTGATTTTTCATATGACAACAATGTTGCATGTATAATTGTTTTTTTAAATTGAAGTTTCAACGATAGAAGGATTTGAGTTTCAATGTTTTTATAAATAGATCTAAGTGCTAAAATCAAAATCTCATTTTTAAATTAATTGAAACATGTACAGAAGTTGTTTCAATAATGAAATCTTAATTTTAACACTTTTTACAAATGAAATTTTCAAGAAACAAATTAAATCATTGGTGTCATAAGAAATATGAATTTAGAAATGCCCTTTCCGAATCCCCCCATTATAAAGCCCCAGCAAACTGTCGTTATTTTGCCTTCAATCTACCTACAGCGGCCTACTGAGCTTGCTCTTAAACTTATTTTCTCCTGATCTTAGATTGCTTCAACGATGGCCGCCAAAAAAACTATTCTGCTCTTCGCTTTGCTGACTTTTGTCATCACCGTTGTCAACTCCCAGTCCGTCCAAATGAAATACGTGAATGGGTCCTTGGAAAGAGGGGCTGGTTTGTTCTAACCCATTATTATATTATATTTATCATCTAGATTTTATACAATACGTAGTAGTATTTATGAATCATGAATTTGAAGTTTGATTTCAGTTCCTTAATATTGAGAAAAAAAATCAGTTTTGTGTATGTATGCATGTTTGGATTTGCAGTGTGCCTAGATGGGAGTTCATCTGTCTGCTACATTCACAAAGGGGTAGGACATGGACGTAACAATTGGCTGCTTCACCTTCAAGTAAGTCTATCCATTCCGATATTAAATGAAAATGATGAACATGAAATTAAGTAATTACACTAAAATTTGTTACATACTCCCTCTATCCCATTGGATTTTGCCAACTTTCCTTTTTTTTATTGTCACAAATCTCAGTCACACAGTTTTTACTATTCTTATTTCTCACCTACTTTGCACTTGGCAAAGTCCACCGGAACGGAGGTAGTATATCCCTGATATATGCGTAGTAAAATAATGCATATAATTAATTTGTGATTGAATGGGATGATTTGCGTGCGATATGATAGACAAGTGTTATCATTAATTATTACAGAGTCATTCTTTTGCATGCATGCGAAATAATATCATTTATCTTAAATAAATGCAACACTTTGATTTTTACACTATTCACATGTTCTACTTTGACTACGTTTTATATATTAATGTAATAATATTATTTTATGAAAAAAATATTGTTAAACTTGTCTCATTGTAAATTATCATAATCTAATTTTTTAAATTTTTTTACTAATACAAAATCATTTATATTAATGGTCAAAGTTGTGTCTCGGCAAGTGTGAAATGTTGACCGTTGCATTTATTTAAGAACGGAGGAAGTATATCATTAGTGCGGTTGATTAGTTAATTTAATTTCTATCATATCACCACTGAAGGGAGGAGGATGGTGCTTTAATAAGACCAACTGCAAGGATCGCGCCAGCACATCATACCTGGGATCTTCCAATCTTATGAACAAATATGTCAACTTCACTGGCTTTCTTTCTAATGACTCCAGGATTAATCCCGGTAAACCATTACTTTTCAATTCTACTTGATTATTTTGATTTTGTAAAGGGTCTGTCTCGGTTCGTAATATAATACTCCTTATATATATGGCTTAACTGAAGAAAAAAAAAACTTTCGTAGCTCTGAATTTGTTGAACTTAATTAATTTGCTCGTGCTATTGTGTACGTACAGAATTCCACAGCTGGAATAGGGTCTATATTCCGTATTGTGACGGTTCTTCATTTACCGGAAATGTTGAAGCTGTGGATCCCGTAAGTATAATTCGAACTAAACTTATTAATAGAGGCCCTACATTAATATAAAAAAATATCAAAAAAAATCAATCCAAATACATATACTTAAATTAATTGAATACTCATTAAATAATGTAATACAAAATTTCTAAAATTGAATTAATATTTGATTTAAAGCAACACAACTCATTATTCAAGCAATTTGAGTAAAGAAAACTAAAACGACCAACGAAAAAAATGGTAAATCTATATTTTTCTTCCTCACTAACTGTGTTTTACTGATCAGTATTAATATATGTAGTATAATATTACGGAGTATTATATAATACTAATAAAATTTTGAAATTTTGGGGCCCCGTAAATTTGGGGGTCCTGTTCTAGATAACCTATTGAACCCCTTAAAAAAACGGCCCTGCCAATAGTGTTTAATTAATTGCAATGGTTTTGTAGCTTCTCACATATTTTGTACTTTGTGTAGGTTACAAATGTAACCTACCGTGGATTACGAATTTTTGAAGCCACGATGGATGATTTGCTCTCTCAGGGAATGGAGGATGCTCAAAATGTAAGATACGACGTACTATAATTGATCGAGTATTTAGATGACGATGATTATATCATTTATATCTACAGTAGTTTTGTCAAACAAAGTACTTCATTATATTATTTCTAACATAGCATGTGTTAATTGATATGCTGTGAAACCAAAAGAGCATAATTAATGTTTGGTAATAAAGGAGCGAAAATTGTAATAATAATAATAAGAAAAATCAAATTATAGGCACTTCTTAGCGGTGTTTCGGCGGGCGGATTGGCTACAATGATTCATTGTGACCGGTTTCGAGACCTTCTTCCGATGACAGCCCGAGTCAAATGTCTTGCAATTGCATCTTACTTTGTGCATGAGTAAGTTCTATTCAAATGCTTAATAAAAATTAACATATACTACGTATTATTATGTTTATATGGGTAGTATGAATCTATCTATTTATTATATATAGTTTTAATTTGTTTTAGTGATCTGAGTCACGGTGTATTTGGGAGTTGGATTTTGGAGCTGAGGGGAAGGTTAATGGAGGTTTATGACCCTCCTTTTCATGTTTGGGATTTTAAAAAAGTGGAGGGGTGGTTTTGGAGGGCTTTTGTAACCCTTCTAAACCCTCCAAATGCTTAATTTTTAAGTTCACCCAATTTGGAGGGTTTTGGAGGATAATTAACAAGATGTTAATTTAAGCTAAATTAGAAACGAATATCAGCTCAATGATTTGAATTCGTCATATCTCAAAGTGATTTTAATTATAACTCCTTCAAAAACTCTTTCCTTCCAATTTTATTACTCCCAAATACAAAGAAGGGTTTCCTCGCCTTCCCCTCCCTTTCCCCTCCGACAACATACCTCCAAAGTTTTCCCCTTCCCTTCCCTCTAAACTACCAAACATACCCTAAACGATAAGTGAAACAATTCGATCTATACATATACTCTAACCTTTCAACAGGGTGCATCTAAACGGAAGCAAACAGTTCGAATCCATTTTTGAGGCGCTCATCAGTTTACATGTATTTTCAATTTCCTCATAAGTACTCCGTAATTCCTTATATATACTACCTCGGTTCTCTTTTAGGTGTAACGTTCGACTTTTTATACTATTCACATATTTTACTTTGACTCTATTTTATTTATTAATATATTATGAATTAAATTTAAAAAAAAAATGTCAAAATCCTCTCACTTTAAATTTTCATTTTTTTTATTTTTTTTACTAATACGAAATTAAAGATAATAATGTTCAAACTTGTGCGTTGGCAAACGTAAAAAGTGGAAAATTGCAATTAAAAAGAACCCGATGAAGTATTCAAATACACTTACACGCACACCCTATGATTTGAAATTATTCACTTTTGAGTATTGTATAGGGATCGTCAAAAGGGCTACCTTCACAATGCACTTCAAGAATGAGTCCCAGTTTGGTGAGTTACTCTTTTTCAATAATAAATTATAGGAGAATGAGGATGGTATCATTCTAAATAAATCGAGATTTTCTCAAATATATTAATTAAATTATTTCTTTTAATAAAATTATGATAAATAGTACTCCGTAATTATTATATTACTATAGTGTCATGGTTATTTAAGTATAAAATTCGAACATGAAGTGCTATGATTAAGTTGTTGTTATAGTCACTACACATAAAAGATCATTTTGTGTAATTATTTCAAATAAATAACACACAACTTATTACTTATTCAATTCCGTTTTATGTAGCCAGTGCTTCTTTCCCCAATACTTCTTGCCTACAATAGAGACGTATGTGTTCATAAGCATGTCAGCATTCGATCATGTTCAAGTACGTCAATGCTTGAATTAATTAATTACTACTAATAAATTAAATAATAATGATAATAGCAACGAACTCTCACTAATTAACATTGTCAATGATGCTTCGGTTTTTTATATATAATAATAACAGATAAGACTGAACTTGTTTCACGATAATTGCACTTTTGAACGGCTCAAAGCAATGCAAGGTAAGCCTCCAAGTATCTTTTGTGTACGTGTGGGTAGGTAATAAAAAAACAAATTTCTACTATGTATATATTTTGTTTTTATATACTCCGTATTTTATTTGTAATTAAATTCAACTAAAAGAAAATTAAAATTCCAATTTGGAGAACAACTAAAAAATTAAAAGAACATTATAAAAGAACATTATAAAAAGAACAAAATTATCTTTTTTACATTTCCTCTCTTTTTTCTTTTATCGTTTATCTTGCTTACCTTTGTTTATTCTTGTGTTATTGTTATCTTATATTTATTTATCTTTATTTTATTCATTTTATCTTACTTTTGTTTCCCTTTCTTGTCCATCTTCTCTTTTTGACATTGATATCATAAATCGATTTATGTTAACCGATCCCAAATTCTTTTGGGATTAAGACTTGGATGTTATTGTTGTTGTATAAAAGTCATTCAAAATATATACACATCACAAAGTCAATTTTTTCGGTGACATAAAAATAAGAATATTGCCGCATGGATAGCTCAGCATACATAACAGAAAAAAAGAATAACTCCCAGCACCAATCAAACTAGATTAAACCTCACCGGTTCAGACCACTGAAGACTTGGACTTTGATAATTATAAAATGCATAAAATAGATATTTATCCGATCATACCAGACTAGTTTATATCAAATCAGATCAGATTAGATTAGTTGAGAAAAACGATTTATCAGGTTCATTCTGAAACCATACGCCTACAATCATCGACCATATTCATTAATACTAAGTACTTGTAGTAATTAACAAATGATAACATTTTGTTTAATACGAAATTAGAGTACACACACAAGTATGCAAACACATATGGTACATGAGTTAAGCGGATCGTGGAGAATTATTGCAAAGGGGGGCCACTCAGGCGCTTTTTCTCTACGCTTTGAAAATTTATCATCTACATTTAGTTTGACTGGCTTTTTAGAGCTTACGTGTAATTATATTTTGTTGAAAAATGCTCTTTGTACACGATAATTTATACACATTATTGTACACGCTTGTCAAATTGTCAATGTACAGACAATTTGAGCGGTATTTTATGAAGAGTACGGATATCCATTGTCTGTGTACATATAATTATCCGTATAAAGACAATTTAAATTGTCTATGTACACACAATTTAAAATTTCTGTGACACAAAAAAAAAATGTATTGTTTCTTCATAAAATGCCGATCATTTGTTTGTACACAGACAATTTAATGAGCGTGTAGAATGCCGTGTAGACAGACAATTGACTGTATTTTGTTTCTCTCAAATCTCAATAAAAAATTCAATCCCATGAAAAAAAGGAGTTAAAGTCGGTGCTACCTTTAATAAAGGTAAAACCACATTCAGACATTCCCATGCTCAAAGACGCTTTAATAAAAATGCATCTTTTGTCCTAAAAATATAGATTTGAGGCAGTACGTGCTATCTGAATTACCGAAAGGCTATTTCTTCGAACGGGGAATATGGATTACAAGCTGCATCGCTCATATCATACCCTACTTTGTGAACCAGGTATATATATGTACATATATATATATATATATATATATATATATGTATATTGGATGGAGTTCTTTTAATTTACACGATTAAAAAAATTGTTAACACATTTGGTTTGTTGAGCACTTATATTCGTCCATGCATCTTTTGAATTGATTAAACTTGTTTGTTTGTTTTTCTTGCAGACAACGTATGCTGAAGTTTTTAGAGATTGGTATGTTAATGGAGGTTCTCTTCAAATAGTTGACGATTCTGACATACCAAAAAATTGTTCTTCACAAGGCATCAAACCCAATTCATGAATGGGTTCAGTTTCACGATTTGATACTTCATATGTTGAATTTGTTGCTTGAAACTAGGAGGAAGTAAGAGTTGTAAGTGCATTTCTAGAAACACAATATTGTGAATTTGGTTCTTTAAATTGCTTAAGCTATAGTATACTAGTATGTACGAATCAAACATATATTTGCCTATTTGGCGATTAGTTTTATAATATAATACTCCCTCCGTCCCGGAAAATTCTTGCTAAATGGACTTGGATACGAGTTTAACAAAGTGAGAATAAGGTGGAAATGTATGATTGTAGTTGAGTAAGAAAAATGTTAATGAATGGTAGCCACTCAAACCTTTTCAAAAAGGGAAATGAGAAGAATTTTTTGGGATATCGCAAAAAGATAAGTAAGAAGAATTTTGGGACGGAGGTAGTATATGAGTTTCTGAAACTTAGTACTCTTAACTAGAGTTTGTGAAACTACTATATGAAAATGGACAATGTTTCAGTGTTCTTAGTACCCCTAACACGCGCGCTAGCTTCAGTGTTCTTATAGGAGTATTAGATACGAAGTATATGTAAGACACCAAGCAAGAAAATGAACAATGTCCAGTATCTTTAACCATGAGTAATATTTTATTGGGAAAAGGTGCAAATAAGTCCTCGAACTAACCGAAAAAAGTGCAAATCACCCCTTTTATAGGAGGTTCTGCTCGGTCGTCGCCATTTGGGGCGGTTCCCGGTGGATTTTTGATACGCTTGTAATTTCCATATGTATGTTTGTGTTTTTAATTAGTTTTGATTGATTTTTACCTTGGAAATTACACACTTTTGGTGTAATAGTTTAGTTTGTTAAATTCTTGTAAATTGTTTAGATTAGGTTTATTCTGAGCTCAAACAGATCTTGATCAACTCAAAGGACAGTTGGTGAAACCCAAAAGTGAAAGGAAGGTGCAAAAATCAAAAGAAAGAAGATCCTGATTTTTTTGTCTATACCGGGTCGAGTATGACCTATACTCGATCGGGTATCTTGTTGAAATTTCAAATCGGATCAGATTCGAAGACAAAGGATCATGCAGAGAAGATTCGGACCACGATCGAGTGTCCATATCCGATCGGATACACCGACACACCTGATCGGGTACCTCTCCAAATACAAACCCGAATTCAGTCGAGTATGCCCCGGATCTGAAGTTATAAGCATACTCGACCGGGTACAAAGGTATACTCGATCGGGTATGCTTATAAAATTTTCCCTTTGATCGATCGAGTATACCTCGAATTTAAGGTATTACACATACCCGATCGCGTACCTTGTATATACCCGATCGGGTACCCGAGCTGCATCTCAAAAGCCTATAAATACACCCCCTTTCCTTCACAATTAGATATCCAATTCCTTTATACATCTAAGCTCAGTCTAGAATAGTTCTTTCTTTATATTTTTCATCATGTTTAATCTCCAAATGAGGAGCTAAACTCTTCCATCTTGGTTTTGCTACTTTGAAGCTTAATGATTTGTAAGTTGTGAGTTATTTTCTTTAATCTTCTTCCTTGAATATTAATTCTTTCCCATTCATATTCCATATTAATATTTTGAGCATTACTTAAAGTATCAACTAGTTTTCTTTCTCATGTTAATTATTACTAGAATCAATCGGTTAATACGCTTGTTATTAATCCGATTCTTTCAAAAGTAGTAAACTTGGATTATTAATGCATGCATCTCATGGTTAATATGCCAAAGGGAATTAATTACATTGATTAAACTAATAAACCGCTTGTGTTGAGGTTATCAATCTCAATCGTTTTCATCTTAAGTTTATTGCTACTATCAAGTTAATATACGGCACTTGTTCTAGCTATATTGACTCGATAGTAAGTTTTATTAATGAACGCATCTCGTTATTAATAACTACCCTCGATGAATTGGATATACTCCTCGATTGAGTATTCGAGAGGAAGATAGTTAAAGATATAACCGGGATCGACGAACATTTCATTAAGTGGATAAAGGCAAAACCAAGTCCTTATCTCTATTAATTAAACCACATAAGTCGTTCATCTTAGTGTTAATTAAATTAAATCAAATCAAACTCAAAAACCCCCTTTGTTACCAATTATATAAAAGAAAAATATTCTTTTCCCTGTGGATACGAACCTTACTTCGTTATACTACGTATAATCGTTGTATTGTATTTATTTTGAGTGCACCTCACGACAAGTGCACGTCAATTTTTTTGATGATTTTTTAGCATCTTCTTTATGAACTCTAGTTTACCCATACCAAATTTCAGCTAAAAATTCAACCCGGAAGGCAGTCAAATGATTTTCTGAAATATATTGCGCTGTTTAACTGCGCAGTTATCTTCAAACATTTATTTGACTGCCTTCTAGATTGTATTTTTAGCTGTAATTTGGTATGAGTAAACTAGAATTAATGAAGAAGATGCTAAAAAATATTCATCAAAAAATTTCGCCGGGAACCACCCCAAATGGCGACGGCCAGACAGACCCTCCTATAAAAGAGGTGATTTGCACGTTTTCGGTTAGTTCAAGGGCTTATTTGCCCCTTTTCCCTATTTTATTTTAAATAACTAATGATAGAATAATTTAAATAGGATGAAAGTTAACAATTAAAAACACATAAAACCTTGCTAGATTAGTACGTTATTGTTAGAATAATTTATGAGTCAAAATTTAAGTGAATTTGAAAATCTAAGATAGTGAAAGTACTATTGATCCCCCCACTGCCATTAGTACTGTGCTTAATTACATATTCATTTCGCTTGAAAGTTGCACTTTTAATATCCTCACGTCCGCAGTAGAACCTTCCCAATCAGGCAATGGGTAACAAAATGTAAATGTTAAGAACGAATTTCAGATCAAGTACGAACGCTTGTGGTCAAATCTCCTTTCCTTGTCATATATTTAGGTTTTTCGATCTTGCGCAGGGACATTTATCCGAATATATGTCTCATCTAGCACTCCTAAACAATTCTACATATTTAAATCAAATAATAGTGTTTTGTTAGTAATTAATTAACTTATTTAAACATTGTTTATTTTGTAGTAAGTTGATGTGAGTTTTCTAAAGTGTGACACAACCCCCAGATGTAATTTTTCACTAAATAACAATTTCAAGAATACGATGAATTTATAAGATATTGGTAATTTGTCCTAGCGATTAGTTTAGCAATATTAATTTAAATTATGGAACCCGTGTAAGGGTGAGGACCACCTAGTGTACTCTGGGACAAAATAATATTTTATGTCATCAGAATTAATTTATTTCGGATCAAAGATCGAAGTGTGTTTAATTAAAATAGATATAAATTGGAAGGTAGGGAAAATAAAGGGAGCAAAGGGCTCAAAGCTCATTTAATATACCTATTAAAGGCTATAGAGCCTAAAAAGAAAACCTAGACCTACACATTTTGATGCAACAGACACAAGAAAGATATATGGTATGTTTGGCAAATGGCTTATCAGTCAGTGATAGAGTATATCTAGAGAGAAGTGAGAACTAGAGAGAGAAGTGCAATAGTATGCTTCAATAGAATGAATTTGTAACCCCTATAACTACTCCCAAGGGGAGTATTTATAGAGAAAATACGGGCTGGGCTTCCAAGCCTTGGGCTTGGGAGGCCCATTTACAACTGGACCGCTACTGGGCCGAATACAAAGCCACTAATGGGCTGTACAAATAAGTAAGTATAAAATCCGGTTCTGTGAGGTCTTCGTGGCCGACGAGGGCGTGGCCGACGAGGGCACGGTCGACGAGGGCACGGCCGACGAGGGCACCCGGGTTCCTTGGGCTCAGGACCATAATCTGGGTTGGCACCTTTTCGGCCGACGGGGGTCCCTTGGCCGACGAGGGCGCCACTCTGTGTTTTGTGCTTTCTGTTCTTCTAAGTATGTGGGTCCGGGGGCTCAGACCCATATACTCCATCAGGAGTCCCCCACTCTCTAAGCTGAGATGCAGACGAAGTGAAGGAGAGTAGATTCCCGTGCTTTGGTGCTTTTGGCCGATGCGGGCATTCCCAGGCCGTTAGCTGTTGCGGCGTTGGCGCTGTTTCCATTTTGGTGATCCTGTGCTTGGCCGTTACCTGCTCCTTGTTGTGGACGGGGAGGCCGTTGTTTTACTTGATGTGTTCGTTTGGGGACGATGAGTGTCCTGCTTTCAATGGTGGCCGTTGAAGGCACGTTTTTCCTTTCTTGGGCGTTGATGGTTGAAATTTACCTTTGGGCCGATGAGGCCGTTGAGGTTGATCCTTGCTTCGAGGACGATGGCGTCCTTTCCTTTGGGTGGCCGATGAGGGTGTTTGCGCACTCCTTTTGGCCGTCGTTGATTGGCTTTCGTGTTCTTGGCCGAAGAGCCCATTATGATTAACTGTGGCGGAGGATGATGAGTGTCCTTGCCTTAGGTGGCCAGTTGGCCGTTGCTGATGACGTTATGTTCCTTTGGCCGACGAGGCGCAGTGTGATACATGGACGATGTGGCCATGCTTCATGGTTACATTTGTTTGCATTTTTCCTTTTGTTTTGTTGAGGCCGGTGTAGTCCCCCAATCCCCCACTGCTTCAGGCCGAAGAGTGTGAGGGGTGAAGGAGTCGTCTGAGTCCCTAGCCGAAGCGGCCTCCCCGCAGTGCCCCTGAATCCAACCCTCATGGCGATTTTTTGGCCAAGGTAACCCTGTGGGAGAACCCTTGTGCGCAGATCGCTTGTAAAGAGTTATCATCAAGGGTCGTTACGAGGAGCCGATGGCTGTGGGTTCTTTGTTCCTCTGGTTCTGTGGCCGTTGCGGGCGTTCATTACGTTCCTAGCCGTTTTCATCCCCTCATTGTCTGGCATTTGTGATCTTGGTAAGCAAGTAGGCCGTTGTGGGCGCTTGCTGGCACTTGTAAAGCCGACAAGCGTGTAGGCCGTAGAGTCTGATTCGCTAGTGGGCTTCCATTGATCTGTAGCTTGGCCCGTTGGTGACGTGGTGGCCTCCCATTGGTGGCCGTTGATGTGGCCATTGGGAGGGTGCCACGTGTAGTGACCGTTGGGTGGGGGGTTCTATAAATACCCCTCCCCCTCCGACGAGAAAACTCATTTGCATTCTGAGTTGTCGAAGTGCTGGCCAAATTTCTAGAGAGATAAACTCTCAAGCTTGTTCTTCGTGTTCTTCGTGTTCAAGGTTAGTGTTCATCGCCATCTTCTGTACTTTGCATACTTTGCTTCCTAGGCTAGTGATCTAGTGTTAGGCGTTTGAACACCCTTAGATCCTAAGTTATTCCCCTTAGGCTCGTAGTAGTTGTTATGATGAAGAGTTTGAACGAAGACTACTATCCGTACGACGACCAGCCCTCCACTAGGTCACTCGACTATGAGTTGCTCGAGGAGTTCGAGGAGGAGATAGAACATTTAAGCCCTTACAAGTCTGGGGAGCCGGTGGACGACGAAGGTGAGGACGAGGAGTCCGCCTCATCTTCGAAAGGTGAGGACGCAGCTGCGTCCCGAGTGGTGGACGGGGCGTCCACTTCAGCTGTTATTCCGTGCCCGAGGCCGGTGTCCGCCATTAAGGGAGCCGATAAGCCGAAAAGAATAAGGAGGCCGAAGAGTGGGCCTGGCGTCTCCTACCTGGATCTCACCAACATCTTCCTGATCAAGCCGGAGAGCAGCGCGGCCGACTACTTGGTTGCCCAGATGTACGTGGGGCCGTTCGGGCGGGTTAGGGCACCCAGGCCGACGGACCATGTTCTTCATCCACCACCGGGATACTTCGGAGTATACCCGATGAGTTTGACCAAGGGGCTGAGGTTTCCCCTTCACCCCTTCATCACCGAATACCTTGACATGGTGGGGCTCCCTCCGGCCTTGCTGACGCCGAACAGCTATTCGTTGATGGTGGGGTTTTTGCTCCGTTGTGAGGAGCTGGGCTACAGGCCGACGACGGCCCTGTTCATGAATCTGTATCAGGTCGGCCGAGGAAGCCACAAAAACTGTGCGGCCTATGCTACTCTTCAACAGCTGCCGAAGAAGAGGAGCTTCACGGACTTGCCTTCGTCCATTCATGGGTGGAAGAGCAAGTTCGTTTTTGTATCCCTTGGTGAGAGTGGCACCGAGTTTCCCTCTCTCGGCCATACCGGGAGGTTCAATCTGCATGACCCGCCGAAGAGTTCTATCTTGGACGCTCAGGTGGAGGCTTTCCTGGAAGGGGGGCCGAGGAGCGTGAAGGATTATATCACAGAATACAAGATGACCGCCCTCGGCTTCTTGAGATACCATGTGTATGGCGATAAGGAGGATGATATCCAACTCTGGCCGAGGATGACCACCACCTTCGAAGAGGCCGACGGCCCGGATTTGGGCATTCCTGCTGAGGCCGATGGTAATTATTTCTTCGGCTTTCTGTCTTTATGATTTGTTCTTTTGCCTTGCTAATCTGTTGTTTTTCCTTTGTGTAGATTTTGTCATGGATCGTCGTTCCATCATGGCAATTGCTAAGGCCAAAGCGGCCGAGGAGTTGGCTGCAAAGGCGGCCGAGGCGGCCAGACGTGCCGCGGCCGAGGGAGGCGGGGCTACTGCTGGTGCGGCCCCAAAGCCTGTATAA